TCCAAGCAAAGAAATGGAAGAGAAGATATTTGTGCTGTCAGTGTGCTTCAGAGGCAATCAGCCAAAGTGCAGCATGAGGTCAGGGACATTCCCAGCTCAATAGCTGGGGGGAAAGTTGGCTCCTCGGGATAGCCATGAGAGCAGGACAGATGACTGATATAGCAATAATGTCAATTAAATTAGTGAATTGCCTAGAGAGTTGCCTCTCCCCCCTCCAGGCACAACTATTATATGCAAAAATGTTTTCCTTTCATAATATGAATGAATGTACATTTACCTAGTTTTCTTATGATTATTTGGAGCAATACATTAACACTGCATTTTCTCTTCTGCATGCTTTCCTGGCTTCTTTCTCATCCTCAAGATTACCATTGGAGCAGGGAAATATTTCATCTCCAGTATTATATTACTTCCCTCCTGGTCTTCCTAATCACAGTAATTAAGGAATGAATGTGTTCCTTATAAGTCTTCTCATTTATTACAATCAGTGCCTTCTTCAATTTGCAAGGCCACAGGACTTCCACTAATTATCACCGTTCTACCAGTTTCCCACATCATCCATGCTATAATCTTACTTTGAACTCTTTAAATTACACAAATTCAACATTTCCAGAACTGGCATAAGCATATGTATTTTATCCCTTTTTACCGTCATTTTTGCTTGGAATTTGTGCTACAACACCTTTGAATATTGCATTGTCTGCCTGTTGTCTTTGTGTGCTTGTCATCAGCTACTATCCTGCTATCAGTTTGAAGACACAAACAATCTAATAATCATCCCTAAAGGATGTATTATCTTAAACCAAATGTTTCTCTGCCCGTTGGCTTTGACGTTGTAGACCTATGACACAAAAACATCAACTTGCATGCGTTTTAACAAATAACAGTAAAAAAAATCAAGTGAGACTATTTTATTCAAGAGTATGTGTGCATAACAAATCAGGCATCAAATTATTTCAGTCCAGTGTCCAAAAAAAATTGAATTGTAATGATGTGATTATACTTGGCACATGGAAGTCAGAACTGGGACAGCAGTATGCCAACTTGTGCTGAAGGCCAGGCTTTACTTTTGAAAATTTCTTTTTAAAGGTCATTGAATGGCTGATGTTAAATAAATGTCCAGAGAGTTGTTGTTCATTTTTTAAATTTAATTTTAAGATTTGGGTTTCCCCCTGTAAATGGAAATGTAAAAAACAAACAAGATAATGTGTTATTCGCTTTACTGCTATGGCAATCTTACGAGATTGTATGTACCACCATCTCTGCAGGCTTTCAGACATTCTTGTATTTCTGACCTCAGCAACCATAGCAGTGCTTAATACTAGAGTGAAATATAATCATGCTTTCCATACAGAAGAAATATTCCCGTAAGTAGGTGGTATATCTGTACTACTGACAAATTAACCATTCCTCAGAATTATTATTTTTGGGAAATTAAATATTACTTAAAATAATTTTAACCACTGCCACCAACACAGCACTGGGTTTATTTAAAGAAAACTGTAAAAATTGATGAGTTTGTAGCATAAATTCATGCATATGCACCATAAGAAGTTTGAAAATATTCCATCCAGTGTCTATACATGGGTATAATCCTTTATTTTCCAACACAGTGACATTAAAATGGCTACATTAACCCCTTACACACAAACATAGTGAAATGATAGGCAAAATCAAGAATGTGTGACAGAAGTCTTTTTCTTCATTTCCCTAAAATATGACCCAAATAATTATGCCTTTGAAATTATGGTTAGTTTAAACAAGCTAACATCAAAACCATGGTTTGACATCTACATTTTGAATGTAAAAAACAGCTGTGAGTTAAGAGCTCCTGGCCTCGTCCTTCCTACTGTATGGACAGGAAAAAAATGCAGGGGGGGATGCAGACATAGGTTTTCTGCAGGTAATACCTACTTGTTTACATCACACAGAAAAAGTGTTTGTTTGTGTGTGTTGTGTGTGTCAGGAGCAACTTGAGAGACTGCAAATCACTTCTGGTGTGAGAGCATTGGCCATCTGCAAGAACGTTGCCCAGGGGACACTTGGAGGTTTTATCATCCTTGTGGGAGGCTTCTCTCATATCCTCACATGAGAAGCTGGAGCTAACAGAAAGAGCTCATCTGTGCTCTCCCTGAATTTGAAACTTCGACCTGTTGGTCATCAGTCCTGCCAGCAAAAGGGTTTAACCCACTTGCGCCACTGGAGGCTCCTAATAGTGTTAGCGTGACATGCAAACAGAAGGGAAAATATATTTTCTAAAGATCCTTCCAATGCAGACAAAAAAGTTCACAATAAGTATTAGGGTTTCTCTGGGAATTATTTCTTCGAAAGCTATAAGCTACAGTATTTGACATGAAACAGCATTTCCCAAGAATACTGAGGAGAAGCAAAAGATAACTTTTTGTCACCATACTTTGCTTCGGAGAACCCACAGGTAGGTTGCCACACTATTGTCTGATCCATCAAGGCAATTAGTGCATATTTAGCTTTATTTGTTATGGCTGGAAGTCACTAAGATGCATAAATTAAAGCTATGGATCTGTAACTGGTTGACATTTGCGGTTCCTACATATTCACAATCATGGCATTATTGCCTCAATTGTAAAAGTACCCAAATGTTGAAGAAGAATTGTAACAGGGATCATGCTTCCAATCGCTGTGCCACAGATTGGCAGAAACAGTGAACATCAGTATGCCGCCACCCCCAGTAGATAGGACAACCAAGAAGTCTAGGATGTCAGCTATTTTTATTGGTTAGAATTCTGAATAAGATACTTAGTTAACTATATAGATAAGTAACCTTAGTTAACTATATAGGTAAGTAACCTGTCTTGGCTTTACCCATTTCTCCCCAAACCTGATGGACATGCCGTTCACTCATTCATCAAACTCAAGGCCCACCATCCAAATTTGACCCACCATATCATTTTATGTGGCTTTCTAGATGCTGGACTACAACTCCTTTATGCCTCATAAATATCATGGTTAGAGCCGATGGGAGTTGTGATACAGTAACATCTAGAAGGGTGCTGTTTGTTCTGTTTAGTCAAGAGAATGGGGTTTGAATTTAGACAAAAGGCTTGTGGATATGATACCTGACATTAAAATGTGCTTTAACCTTTCCCCAACCTCAGTGCTGTTGAGTTGCAATTCCCATTGTTCCCAATCTGCATGGCAGATGAGAATGATGAGAGCTGCCATTCTGGGGATCTAATTGGGATAAAAACTAAAGAGTATCACACACTATGTAAATATATTTATAGTTGGCCCTCTGTATCCACAGATTCCCCATCCATGGATTCCTTTTGAAGGCAACAATAAGGTTGATGTAGACCTTGATGAAAATGAGTTTGACACCCCTAATTGACATCCCTCTGTTCAGCCAATGCCTGATAAAGTAGGTTTGGAAGGAAGTTTTGATCTTGGCAATAGTGTCACAACTGCTAAAACAAACAGTTGAAAATCACAGCCTACAAAAGTTTAAAAACAATTAAACTATAATAAAAGTAAAACTAAGACAAACTAAAACAACAACAAAGAAAAGTTCTGTGCATTATTCAACCATAATAGAGTGTTTCAAAATAATCATGGTAAAATCTGGAGAGAAATTATAAAACATTTGGAAAGATGGGGAGAATTTTAACAAAAGCAAAGGTTTTTATTTATTTTTTTCAAATGATCCCCATAATAAGAAATAAGAAGGTTATGGTTTAAGATTTTGGATATTTCTAACCTGACCATTTACATCTTTGTGGAAATGGATCCGCCTCATGGTAGATACATGCCATACAGGGCTGACCCAGAATCACCTGGGGCAAGGCCACCTTAACAATACCTGACCTGAGATTAATGAAAGTCATGGCAAAGTCTAAATCCTGCCCCATTGTGTATATATGATATGTTTTCTGACCCCGCTCCCTTTGTTTTTTCATATGTGTTGATTAATTGTTACCATTGGATGTAGTGGACATCTTTGTATGTTTTAAAACCTAATACAACATTTGATTTGTGCTGCCCTCTATTTCCTTCTGAAAAGACTCCACATGTATCTTATTTCATGTTGGAAGGACTTTTTGGCTGATCTCTACATTGAGGCCCTAATGTATTGACTAGCTCCACATATGTGCATATTCAGGAGATGTGTGATCTAGTACCACCCCAAATATATTGACTAAAATTACGTCACTCAGTCATTACTTAAAATAATGTCTTCCAATAATGTAACACCTATCCATCTGTGTTAAAATATGAAGTGAAACCACACTGCATCACTTAATCACTTTAAATAAATATAGCCGCTTTTCACACACACACAACCTTGAGTCTTCTTGACATTATTCAGATTGGAACTGTAGGCACAAAAGAATTGTTGAACAGCGAGCCATCTGTCATTTAGCTTCATCAACACGGTTGCTTCCAAAAATACAATATATTAAAGAGAAAGAATACAAATGACATTTAATGCATGTTACCCTGCCAGAGAAGGCTGTCTTCTTTGAAAGACATAGTGACAATTTTCTGCCAGGCCTTTGATTTTCAGCCAGTAGTTTTTGCTTCAGGGCCAGCTGCTAGACAAGACGGCATGACCATTTCTGTGTTTTCCTTAGCAATACCATTGGATTGTTATTGTAAACTGCTATGATATCAGATACAGTCTGGGAGAAAAGTAGGTTATAAATAAAGGGAGGGATGGTGAATCCGTCAGCTTTTCCATTCGTTGTGGAACAGAGACCATGGTGTTCATGGCAAAAGAGATCATTAGTTTCTCATCCACCAAGAGAAAAGTGGGAGAAGGGCAGCATGAAATACTGGGCTGACCTAGAGACCATGCTTACACAACCTCTGAGAAAATGGGACTTCTTACGCAGCTATTTTTATGCAAGTGTAACACTTCAATGGCATTTTGGCCAATATCTTCAAGCTGCTGTCTTTACTGTTGTTTATCAGAATGCAGTATTATAAGACATATTAACAAATGTGCTGTTGTATGGATTTTCCAGGTTATCGATCTGTATTGGGGAGTAGAACCAGAGGAATGGCACAGCCCAGAGCTCCAGAAAACCCGCATGAGGCTATTAGAAGATTGCCTGAAGACATCTGCAGGTCCATGTTTTGTTGTGGGTATAAAAATAATGCTTTACCTAATTAACCTAGAATTGAATATGCAGTTAGCTTCAGGCATATTAACAAACTATCGTACTTCCTAAAAAGTCTTTCATTTTCAAGTCTAGCTCTGATTTTGCGGATGCTGCTTTAATTTTTATATAGCATATTCTTACATATTATATATTGTTATCACTACCATTATTATCACTAAGTATGTATTAATGTTACAGATCAGGGCAGATATGGAAAGTCATCTATTGAAGTCATGGGATTTGAAAGCATGAATGTAACAGAAAATTTCAATTTCTGTCTGTTGCATCTTTTTGATATTTGCGGTGACCCTCCTCTCTTTCCTGTGTTAACATTATACCATGTTTTTTTAGCCGTGGTTCCATGCTAAAGTAAAAGTATCCCTAGAATAATTTAACAGAGGAACACCTCTTTCTTGAAGCCAGTAGTGAAACCGTTTAGTCACAAAACTCCTGCTGTGTGTAAAGTCTGGAAATGAAGCCTTTTGAGGAATAATTCAGGCAGTTGAATATATTTCACTTGAAGAAGAGAATACTGATATGAAGCAATTTTTAAATATCTGAAGGGATGCCATTTAGAAGATGAAACCAGTTTATTTTCTGCTGCTTCAGATAATAGATTCCTAATCAGTATATTCAAATTACAAGAAAGGGGATTTCACCTAAATATTAGGAAATAAATTATTAACAGTACCACTTGCTCAACAGGGTAAAGGGAATCCACTGCCTCAGAACGCCTATGCAGTTCTTTCAACATGGTTTCTTCCAGGAGTACTGTACTTGTGTACAGTAGGATCCTTTAATCAACAGATTCATTATTCATTGTTTCACTTTCCCACATTCCAAACAATATCCCCCCCACCCCTCACCAGAAATATTTATCAGCCTTTCTAGATTTTCTAGGGCAGGGGTCCTCAGACTTTTTAAACGGAGGGCCGGATCACAGTCATTCAAACTGTTGGAAGGACAGATTATAATTTGAAGAAAAAAAAAGAATGAATTTCTAGTGCAAAAAAATACTTAAATACAATACAATAATTATAATTAAGAACAATTTTGACAAATATAAACGTATTAGTATTTCAGTGGGAAGTGTGGGCCTACTTTTGGCTGATGAGATAGGATTGTTGTTGTTGTTGTGTGCTTTCAAGTCATTTCAGACTTAGGTTGACCCTCAGTGAGGGCCACATAAATGACCTTGGAGAGCACTATCCGGCCCCTGGGTCTTAGTCGGAGGACCCCTATTCTAGGACAATTCTATTATAAGCCTGAATATAATTGAAATGTAAGGTTTTAAATTATTCACAGTTTCAGGTATCCACGAGATTATTGGAATATATTGTCAGAGTAGCATTAGCAGCCTACAGAATATCTCAGTCTTTTTTACTCTCAGTGTGATAAAAAAAACTAAAAAAAAATACACATGAGCATGTTGCTTTAAGTAGAAACAAAAATATAGTTCTATTCATTGTAAATAAAAAAACACATAGCAGAACAGAAGAATTGTTCTCACCAATGTACAACAAACAATATCTCCGGTGAGTCATCTTCTTTATATGATGATATGCAAACATATAGCAAAATAATACAGTCTCTCTACTTAGTTATCAGTAGAATGTCCTTGTCTTGCCATAAACAAGCAGTTTCTCTGGCATTCAAGACTGCTTCAGTCTTCAGTTTCAGTACACTGCGTAACCACTCCCAGCAACAGCCAAAGGTTTCTTCAGCTGAAAACGAGCCATCAAGCTAAGCCAAAATGCAAAACTCAAAGTTTGCAAGCCTTGTTATATGCTGAAGCAGATAACACACCCAATTAACTTGTGGCAGCTGTAAAGAAAAGGTGCTGATCCTCCTTATTACTTAGAAAAGGCCTGTTGTAACCCCCCAGTAGCGACATATATCCTCCACAGATATGACAGTTGTACTATATTCCTACTTAACAGGAGGTTGGACTAGGTAGACCTTCCAGCCCCTTCCAATTCTTAGAATTCTGTGAATTCCTGGCATCTTTCAAGATGGCAGGTTATTTGCTAATGGAATTGAAGAAGAGCCCCCTCCCTGTTATATTGGAGCCAGTGACAATAAAAATAAATAGCACTTATCCAGAAGGTTCAATCTATTAGATTACATTCAGTTGTTTCTCCCAACAAAATTATGGAATTGTAAACCCCAGTGCCCTTATGTTCAGGAATAGGGATGGCTTGATATTTTGTGTAACCTTACTAGGAATGATGAGCTTCACCTATTGTAATTCAGGATGGAGCCGTTCATTTCAAAAGATAAGGGACAGTTTATAAATGATACACAGGTTTAGGATGGTTTTAGGATGGTTATAGCTCCAAGCAGATATATTGGGAAAGAGGAGGATGTTGGAGAGTAGGTACTAAAATAGATACAAAGCTGAAGAAAACAGAGGTGAATAAAAAGCCAAAAGAGAGCATAAGAAGTTGGAAGAGATGTTGGAAGGGAAGCCCTGAGATTTTTATGCACTCTTAGACATTTTTCCTATACTGTCAGACTTCAAAGCAAAGTGTAGCAATTGTTTTTGTCACTTGTCAGTGATTTTTGTAAATTGTAGACCAAAGCTATACATATTAATTGCTGGTTATATCTATCAATTTTCCAACCGTGTTTTAGATTTTTAAAGCTTTAGCAATTTAAGTGCAGACTGAAATACAGTGGTTGCTAAAGGAATAATCAAAATGGCATTCATACTTAGAAATGTATAAACCCACCCCTATTTTATGGAGGTACTTTTTCCCTTTGGATCTGTTAAGTGGCCAAGCTTGTAAACAACAGGGTTTCTTTTCTTTTTTTTATTTCAAACCATGCAGAGAAGATAAAGAATTACAAGTTTTCTTGTGATCCAGGAACACTGATAAGTAGTTAGTACAATTCTGTGCAGGCTTTCTTTTCTACAGGGCCATATTATGTAGAATACCATAAAAGAATTTGAAACTAGAAAGTACTTGTCTGTTAATAGACACAAATGCAGCAAAGTATTTTGGGAAAACAACATTTTAGAGGCATTCCAGAACTTACAAAGAATATTGAAGACTTTTTTCCGGTTTATTTTTAATCAATGCAGGTTGCAAGCCTGAATGGATTGTGAGCCTGAATGAATGGAGGACAGACAGGATCCCAAGGGGGGCTGTGACATTGCTCCACTGACGAAAAGGGCACCCTGTGCACCTTCCCTCCTTCTCCCATCACATGGTAGGGACCCTGTTCCCATTGGATGGAAGAGAGGGCAGAAGTGTGCGGGAATGCCTATTGCCCCACTGCCCTTTCTCCCATCATATGGGGAAAAATGGAGGAAACTCTGTAGTGGAGAAGGAATTTGAGCATGCATCATCTGATGGCGCTCAGCACGCCCCATCCAAGCTGCAAGTAAAAGTGACAACATGGGGCTATTCTACTCCATGTGAACAGGTCCCGGGTCTATTTAATTGTTCAGATTTACATAGTTGGCAGGAGTTCTTATATATTTCCCCTTGAAAGCTCATCTAAATTTATCATATTGTCACCCCAGAAATTTTGAACATTTTGTATCACAACTGGTTCTATGAAGTGATATATTCGATGTCACTGTACTTTTAACAGCCATAAATAAAACACATTCTTTGTATGTGAGAGTTCATACCTCCTAACAGTCCACATTGAAACTGAGCACATGTGGTCAAGTGACCTCAGATTGTGATCAAGATGGTAAAAGTTATTATTGAGGAAAAGTCCACAAGCTAGGAGGTATGTTTGCACTTAGAATTCAGTTTGCAGCAGTTAAAGTAAGGTGAAGGTAAGAAGATGAAGCAGGAGGGAGAGCAAGACATTGGGGCATTTTAAAAGTGGGATGACAAAGCTTTAAATGAGACTGTGACAAATCATGAACCGTTGGTGTGAGATTCAGTGCACCCTTTTCCTCTGTCTCTTCCGCAGGCAGTCATATATTCCTTAAAGGATTGTGTTCATATGTTTTCTAGACTCTGCACTGTTACTGGAATCTCAGGCCCCATATACACTGCCATTATAATGCAGCTTGAATTGTATTCCAACTTATTAGTATTTCAATGGGAAGTGTGGACCTGCTTTTGGTTGATGAGATAGGGTTGTTGTTGTTGTTGTTGTTGTTGTTGTTGTTGTGTTCATACGTTTTCTAGACTCTGCACTGTTACTGGAATCTCAGGCCCCATATACACTGCCATTATAATGCAGCTTGAATTGTATTCTAACTTATTAGTATTTCAATGGGAAGTGTGGACCTGCTTTTGGTTGATGAGATAGGATGTTGTTGGTGTGCTTTCAAGTCATTTCAGACTTAGATTGACCCTGAGCGAGGGCCGGGTAAATGACCTTGGATGGCCATATCTGGCCTCCGGGCCTTAGTTTGAGGACCCCTGGCCTATATGGTTCATCAGTAGCTTGGAAATATATGGGTACTGGCTAAACTGATGAATTATTACTAGATGCAGCATCTTCTGCCCTTTGATTGAACATGCTGTCCATTGTGGTAGAGTTCTCTGCGTGTAATTTAATTTTACTAATAGGTATTTCTTTCATCAAAGGGGCTCCAGTACCTTTATTCAAATAGAATAGCAATTTTCTATGTGCTTTTGGTCAAACTGTTGTTGATATGACATCTGTCCTATTTTCAGGTAGCTTACTATTCAGGAGCATGTGCTTTTACAACATCACACTTTCATTTCTCCTGCTGCCCAGTGCCCATACATCACAAGGATACTCCAGTGTTTCCAGTTTCCTTGTAGAGGAGAGCTCAATAGCTAGCAGTCATTCACTTTGATCAAATGTCATTTCAAAACACTAAAGTAAAAAACTTGAATTTCTTTTTTCAGACAATATGTTCCTAGATTTTAAGAAAGCAAAACATTTTAAAAGTGAAGCACACAGGATGCTGGATATCAGTGTGTGTGTGTGTGTGTGTGTGTGTGTTCAGACCTTGGCTTTGGTGGTAACAATGAACTCCT